CCCATTAACTTCCGTAATAATAAATTGAAGTATCCACTACATGAATAGTTGATAAAAAATACTATTATATTTATACTATAAATATATTAGAAGAGTGAATGTTGGGTTTTAATCGATTGTGTGGGTTTAATATAAGTTTTATTGTGGATAAAAGACCATCGATTTTGTTAAAACCGTTTAAAAGTCATCGGTTACGGATATTAGATCTTAATGTATTTGATAAAATATGACTATTTTTAGTGTATGTACACTAAAAATATCATTTATAATTTTATAATTGACTAAATTATAAATAACAAAATTTGACAATATAAAAAGACGTTTATAGTCTCAAAATCGCACCTAAAGTTTATTTTTTATGTTATTCTATCAACAGATAAAAAGAGTTTGAAAGTTTCATAGAGTCACGTATCGATTTAGAAAGTCAATCATACAATGTGCATATTTCTTCCACTACGAACTCATATACGTTTATATTTCTAAATCTATACTTTTTATTTTAAAATGAACATGTTGGTTGACTTAAATTTAAATATATTTTATGTATTTTATAGAGAAAAATCAAATAAAATTAGTATTATAAAATTTATGATAATAATATTATAATAAATACGAAACTAATATGTTAGAACACGAACTAGTGAATAAAAATTTGTATTCAAATGAAACTACCACTTGGAGCTTTTTACAATATTAATTTACGCTGATGTGGAATAACAAATTAAATTGAAAGTAAATTACAAATTGATAGATTATGAAAAGGAAAGATGAATTGAAACCTACATATTATAAAATATGAAAATTGATAATAACTACTGAATTGTTGCAACCATATTCCTTATTTAAAAACAAAATGAATTGAAAGATCATGATTATTTCTTACTTTTTATTTTCAAAATTCTATTTTTAATTATACCAAATAGATAAAAAAAGAGAGTAAAAAAGAAAAGTACTTAAAAATTATATTGGTTAGTTGTATATTTTAATTTTAATTATTTTATTCATCGATTTATTTATAAATTATATTATTAACAATAATTTGTTTATTCTTAACTATCTATTTATTAATTTTAAAATCTAAATAAAGAAATTGAGTTTCATTTTTTTTTAAAAACTAGTATTTTAGCAGCAATAAAAATCGAGTAATTATTAAATAATTAAAGAGGATAATGCATTAATTACGTCGGTAATTATAATATTAAATATAAATTTTATAAGAATGAAATAATAATTTAAGGAAAAATATTTTTAAAGACATTAAAATTATTAACACAATTTCCAGATGTAAAAGTTCACCTAAGAAAATGCCCCATCATTAACACATTAAAAAATTGTAATCATGCTTGAGTTATAAGGGAATGATTAGTAAATTATGTTAATTTTAAATTCATAAATTATAAATATGAACGTAATTTAATTTTAAAGGAAATAAAATTTATTTAATTATTACAAGAAATAAGAAGACATCATACTTTTCTTTAAAAAGGAAAACAAATAAATCTTGCCAGTGGACCCCACATGCACAAAATATATCCAAATGCAGAAAAAAATATCAAAATTAACCCCAATTTTTTTTTTTTTTTTTAATTTCAAAAAGACAAGCTTTGTAAAAAATATATATAAAAAAATAATATAAAAAAACAAAAAGCCCTACAGTTTCCAAAACACACTTGTCTACTCCCTTTCCCTTCCCCTTTCCCCTTCCCCTTTCCCCTTCCTTCCCCTTCCCCTTCCCCCCTTCTCCACCCTCTTCCTACGAATCTTTTAATTTTTCTCATTTCTACCCATACATCATCAAAATTATCAAACTGTAATCAGATTTCTCTCCTCTCTCTCTCTCTCTTTCTCTCTCTCTCTCTCAGATAGCAAATCTTCAAGCTCTCATCTTTGTTTCTCGCTGTATTCCATCTTTCCATCCTTCTCTATTATCAAATACAGAAAATAAATAGATACGGTTATACACAGAGATATATTTAAATATATCTACCCAATATAGAGGCGGAGAGAGAGTTGAGGTTGGAGAGTGAGAAGATGAACGGTGGAGCAGTTAGGGGTTCAATCCCGGCAAGTGTCAGGAAGACGATCCAGAACATACGGGAGATCACCAGGAATCACAGTGAAGAGGAGATTTATGCAATGCTCAAAGAATGTTCAATGGATCCCAATGAAACCGCTCAGAGGCTACTCCTTCAGGGTCTTTCCCCGCTTCTTCTTGTTCTTCTTCTTCTTCTTTCTATGTTGTTCGCTTTGCTTTTCCACTCCTTTCTCTTTTCATTTTCTTTACCTTGTTTTCTCCGGGTTGATCTTGGCGATTTGGTTGTGTGATCCATGTTTGAACTTTACGTTGGTTTTCTGATGGGGCTGGTTTCTCGGGATCTGATTCGGGTTTTCTTCAGCTGGGTTTTTGATTGGCCGGGATGGGGTTTCGCTGTTGATATGCTTTTTTTCTTTTCCTTAGGGGTTGAGTTTAGTTAGATTTTGGCATGATGTTTATTATGTCAACACTTTTTTATTTGCCTAAGAAACAAACTTTTTGATTTTGTGATTCTTGATTTTATTCTTTCCTAGAAATTGTTATGTGGAACATTAGATTGTTATCTTAAATTGATGTGACTTTGCAGACGGTATCTGAAACTATAGTCGTTAGGCTGAATAAATCGTAGTTTATAATTCTAAATTTTACTGGAGTCACTGCGGATGTGAATTTGTTTGAAGGGAAAGCTTTATGCTCTTCTATAAGACAACAGAATATCAATCAAATCTACGCCTTATGCTTTGGTTCTGTTTCATTTCCAGCATATTGGAAGCGTTTACTCATGCTAGCGAAAATTATATTAGACAGATTGACACCTTGACTTATTATTCCTGGAGTCTGATCGATGAGTGTTTGTTAATTTAGTGAAAAATGGAAGACTTGCTCTCCCCTTTGCCAGCTTAGGAAGCAAGATGGATGTAATGCTAAATTTTGAATGTAACATGGAGGGTAACTATGCGTCATAAGATAAACAGAGAGGAAGCAAATCTCTGAGTCAGAAATATTAGTAAAGCTGACAAAAGGGGACCTGATGACGCCACTATGTATCTGTCTTCTATCATTGACCTGCCGATCACAATGTTTGGGCACAGTCTGTGTGGTTAACTCTGAGTGAAGTACAAAATCATTGAATGATCCAATGCACTTATGATATGTAAAATATTTACTTATTGAGTATTGATAGGAAATCCAGTGTTAAGTTGCGCGTCGATAATTGTATAACAATTTGAGCGTTTACTTATAGTGTGTTTGCCTGTTCGGTCTTCAGTCGCTTTGAGATCTTTTTTGTTTCTTTTTTGGTTGGTGAATTTGCTAATTTGAATGTGTGATCTATTGGAAATCATATCTCAAATCACCAGATTTTAGACTTCTTATAGGAGCATCCAAGGGATAACCCACAGGCACTGTTAGCGCCTTTTTGAGCTGTTTGCATAATGCTAATTCACTACCTTATAATTTGAAAGATCAAATTAGAAGGTTAAACTATTTCCTTCAATGAGCATTAGTGTGCTTTCGGGCAAACAAGCTGGTCTAGTACTTTTCAGTTTTGTCTTACTTCACTCCTCTTTGCTTACTATTTCTACTTGCAAAATAAAAATTTGCATTTATGTCCTCACACCACGTGAAGACTGACTGGCTACATGCTCTGTACCATAAATTTCCCTGTGATTTTATCTTCCTTTTCTTTTTTCAAGTTACCTCTGCTAGGTCCAATAACAACTAACCATTCTGCATATGATTTTACAGATCCATTTTATGAGGTTAAAAGGAAACGTGACAGGAGAAAAGAGGTACACGATTTTTTTTTTAAACTTTCAGATTCCTATAGCTAATTTGTTTGCAAAAGTTTTCTAGTGCAAGTATTTTGCTTGTGTAGCGATCATTTTCTTATTCCAATTTTTATGGCTTGTTGCAATTGACTCATGTCTCTGTCAGACCAGTTGCTCATATGCAACCAGGGAGCCTAATTCAGTTAACAATGGAGGAAAGAGTGTAGAGAGGAGATAAGGCTTAGTGAGAAAAGAAAGTAGAGTAGAGGGAAGAGATAAGGGAGAAGAATATAATTTTGAAGAATGCTGAAATAATTCTAGATATTTCCTTTTCATTCCTGATACATGGTACAGGAATATATAGGCCAAAATATAGCTGGCATAGTAGAACAGGTACAATGCTGCAGGATGTACATGACAATACTGCTCTTATAGAAAAAAACAGAAACCACAGAAATTAAATATTTGGCTATGTTAACTAACTTAACTAACTCTTATTATTTTTCATACTTCACGATGACATATTTCCCTCCTTCAAAGCAACCTTGTCTTCAAGGTTGAGTTTAGGAAATTGAGACTTGGGGAATGACGAGTCTTCCCAGGTTGTTTCTTCATCCCCCAAATTCAGCTACTTGACTAATGCTTGTTCTACATTCAGCCCTTATAATGGATGGTCCTTCTTTGCAAAAACCGTTCTAGTTCTACCAAGTTCTGATCCTGAGCATCGGTAGTTGGCAGGGCACTGTTGGTAACTTTGGAATCCCCGGAATGTTCCTTCAGCGAGGACACATGGAACACGGGGTGGAATTTTTTGCTGGCGATAGGAACTTGTAGGCAACGCTGCAATCTTCTCCTCTACCTCAAAGGCCCATAATATTCTGGGGTCAGCTTCAACCATCGTTTGATTGCTAGGGAGGATTGTCTGTAGGGTTGAGTTTTAATAGGACGGGATCTCCCTTTTGGAATTCTCTTTCTGATTTCTTCGCATTTGCATAGACCTTCATCTGTTTTGTACTTCCAACGGCTTTCCGTCAAAAATCAATTCATCACTTCTCTTTCCTTGAGCCATTTTTCTAAGTTGCCCGAAGTAGTAGTCCATTCTCTTGGCTCTATAGTTAGGAGTGGGTAGCCGTATATTGCATTGGACAAGGTCATCTTGAGGCTTGAATGGTAGGTCTTGTTGTGCCACAATTCGGGCAAACTCATCCATTTTGACCAAGACTTTGGTCTTCTAAACACCATGCGTTGGAGATATCCTTCCACACACTAGTTCACCCTCTTGGATTGTCCAGTGGTATGAGGGTGGTGCTCGTTCTCAATTATGTTCGTAGCAACCTGAGCAATTTCCTTCAAAAGTTGCTAGTGAACACCTCATCCCTTTGATAAAACAAACCTGGACATCCCATGCAATTGGTGCACGTTATCCGTGAATACTTGAGCAACCTTTTGGGCTGAAAAAGGGTGCGCGATATTGTTGAAGTTTCATACTTGTATATTGGTCAACCGCAACTGTAATTGTGTCTTTTCCTTTTAATGTTTGCATTTGTTCAATAAAGTCTATGGTGATGTGGGCCTATGCTTGCTGAGGGATGGAAAGGGGTTGCGGTAGACCTGGGTACTACACATGCTCTCCTCTGCGGCATTGGCAGTCATCATATCTTATTACCTGTCCTCTACCTCTTGTTTCATCTTCGGCTAGAAGAACCCTTGCTTTAGCTTTTCATAAGTTCTTTGGAT